AATTGCGTGAGCTAGAAATGGAAAAGAAGGCAAAACATGCCCTTTTATGGGGTTGAGTGTAACAATCACCCCATTTTGCACCGGGGAAGAGCAACATTTTTTGAAAGAAACGAAATCACTATTAGCTCAGAGGCTGATGACAATGCCAAATGAAAGATGAACTAGCCGTCTGGGTGGCGCGCGAATCGAGATATTTCATAAGGTTCAAATTTAGAACGTATATTATAACAATAATCAGCTTTGTCGCATAATCCGACTCGGAATTGATTTTTATCAGAAATGAAACCCGATACCCGTTTTCAATTTCTGTCGCGAAATTCCATCAGATTTCGATTTTTCGAGCATAAAACAAGCTTATTATCGAATCAGCTGTTTGCCCTTTAGGTCTGTTTTCTCTTATCATGCGCCTAAGATTGGGTCGTAGATTAGGAATCTGTATACCAGTTTTCCAAGACATAATAATTTTTATCAAAAAAATAAAATTTCTACAGGGGAAAAATTAAAAGAGAATAACATATTTTTGTTATATGTATTTTTTTCATTTGTATTAAAGCCTGTTCCTTTGCAGAAAAATCAAGCTACTAATGATGAAATCGATAGATAAAAAAAATCCATGAATACATATGTGCAGGGAACGGATTTTATGGAAATTGCCTTTTTTTCTGCTAAAGAGATAGAGTATATTCGATTAAGAATGTCCACGATTTAGCTTTCCCTAATTCCATATATACACATTTGATGTTGCCTTTTTTAAGAAACATATTTGCCTTTTTTTACCTTTTCTACCTTTAAAAAAGTGATTATAGCATTTACGTTTTTTTGTTTTTAATTAAAAAATATACACATGCCCATGCGGCTTATAGAAGCGCAGAGACCTCTTGCCAAATTGGTGTTGGAAAAATTCAAAGCCGTTTTCTCAGCTAACGTAGGCTTGGTGACAATAAGGGGTAAGGGGTGTGGATAAAATTGTAAAGGGCGAGGAAAACGCCCTTATTCTTGATAATATGAACGTTTCAAACGTTCCATATTTAAATTGGGCTCCACTTGCATCAACTTATGTCGAGCGCACATTTAGTACATTCAAGGCTTTTCTTCGCGAACATCGAATGAAAATGGTGCCAGAAAACTTCAAAATGCATCTTGTGGTTCAATGTTACTACAACTATACAGATTAAAGTTTTATGAGTTAGAAACATGAAAGTATAAAATAGTTAAAGATTCAAAGTACAAATTTGTCATATAATGAAACTAGTTCATAGTGTTTCTCTTTTTACTTGTAATCAGAGTACTAAAATAAACTGTACAAAACAATTCCCATTTGCTCATCGATCATCATATCACTTGCAGTTTTGTACAGTTTTGTACATAGTCAGAAACAAATTGTAAGATTCAATGTCATTTTCCCCAACGAGAAACGTTTGCTTTTCATTTGTGACATTTGTACTATAGGGTGATATCACAATCGTTTCAATTACGTGAAAAATAAACCACAGAATAGTTTTAATAAAATGACCACAGAATAAAAAAATTTTAATATTAAGTAAACAAAACTGGTTGAAAAAATCGATTTTTTAACAGTATATTTTGTTTTGCTGCCTTTGTGCTTAAGTACACATTTAAGATACCTACCCCAAAATACGCATCCGCGGCATTATTTTTAACATTTATAAGGAAACTGCTCCTGCACTGGCTAATTTTAAAAGTTTTTATTGATTTTGCTCATCTCGCAGAAGAACGAAAACGTCTATCATTTTCCTGTCCTGTTCGAGGCACGTAATAAAAGCGGCATTACTGCCGTACTGATGAAACATTGCAACGTGCCTTTTCGGTTAAGCGCACAAGTTTTTCGTGCAAAGCAGGATGGGCAGCTAGGCAAAATATACTGTATTTCTGTCACTTGTATTATGAACTTCTTTCAACCACAAAATACATTTGTTGACTTAAGTTTTTTTTGCATCGAGCTAAAGTATTATTAAATGCGTACGAATTTAATTTCTGTCTTTTGTTTTGTTACTAATGAAATATTTTTCACTTTAAATAAAAATTAGGTTTCAAACCCATTTATTTATTATTTATTATTTATTATTTATTATTTATCATTTATTATATGGTAGGAGAGCTTCTCAAGTTGTGGAAAAATATTGAATATCCAAACCCGGACTAACACCGGGATTCCGGGATTGTATAAACGAGACCCCTAAAATCCTAATCTTACATACATATGTATCTAAACGAAAAGCCTGTACACCAAAAAATTTCGAATTAGAATGATAGAGTTGTGGAAATAGAGAAGAAACTATCGATGGCGGCTGCAACTATTGATAGTAACAACCTAGAAACGACACTATCGATAGTGTCGATAGTGGCAATAAAAGGCAAACCATCAATACTATCGATAGTGCCATCGATAGTTTTCCAGCTCTTCTATGTAGTACATACTCGTGCATGGCATATGAGTATAGTATCGGTAGTTTACAATTTCACATCACTATCAATAGTTGGAAATACGATCAAATGGCGGCATACATATGCACTGAAAGTTCAATTCAAAGAATTGTTGCTGGCAAATGGCTCGTGTAAAAAATATTAAAAGGCTGAATTTCTTTATTCATTCTGAACGTTTGGAATAAACTTTTTTGTTGACTTATTCTTTAGAACGTTCCTTATGATATGTTAACGTATATTTCAAACGCATTCTGTTTATTCTGGCTGTGAAATGAGATTATCTGGAATGTAGAAAGAAACACAGCCAAAATTTTTCAAATATGTGCATGTATATAGACATGATTCGCTTTCTGGGTCAAGTAGGAGAATTCACGTAAGTATTGATGGAGTTTTTCGGCTGGTTTGTTCAAAATAAAAAAAAAGTTTATTTTTTATCTTACGCGCATGGATGTATTATATTATGTAATACAACAAATTTCAAAAAGCGGAACATATATATCTAGTAAACTCATACGACACTATCGTTAGTTTATTTTTAGTTCCTTATTGATAATTTTTTAGCTGAAACCGATACTATCGATAGTTATCCTTAAACCATCGAAATTATCGATAATTTTGCAGCTCTAGTATTGACGTACAAAATCGATTACAAGTAAACTCGCTGACACAGTGCTCAGAAATTTAATGAGCGGATAACAACTATGTATATAAATTGTGCGTAAAAGAATTTCAAAATTAAAAATTTGTTTTCAGGGCTTATACTTAGCGAGAAGTTGACACACTTTTCGGTGCTTATAAGCGGGAAATGCCTATGTCGAAACTTTTCGTGCATATTAAAAAAGGAGAAGTTTTCTTATAGTTTTTCCAGTGTATATTTAAATAGGCGAAGTTTTCTTACAGTTTTTCCAGTGAGTTAGAGGAATTGCTTATAAACAAGAAATATGTATTTTGAATTCTGTTTTCATTTCTTAGTTGTGACCTATATTCGATTATTCCCTTTTTTAGAAAACCGGGTTTCCAGTTGTTCGAAAATTTTCAATTTGAAAAAAAAATCGGTTCGCTCTTTACAAATTAAGAAACCACCCGCATTAAACGGTTTTATTTGACCTATTTTCTCTTCAGTAACAGTTACTGTTAATCAGAAATCGCGACCAAAATTAGAATACGAGTGCTAAAAGTAGGTATAGCTTTAATTTATATATTAGCAAAATAAGTTCGAAGCAGTTTGAACTACAAGTAAAACAGAAGAAATTGTGAAAAATTCGCTTTCGATGGGGTTCACCAATTTTAACTAGATTAGTCGTTATAACAACAGTGTATTATCGGGACAAATTCGGGCATGTAGAATCGACTGTCTTGGGAATGAGAATATACCAACCGCTGAACCAGACCGACTATACAAATACAGGCCATTCATCGAGAATTAATCGACACTTGTGTCAACCCTCGCCTCTTGATTTCCATCATCGGAGACCAACGCCACCGAGCTCGAGATGCCTTCACCCAACTCCACTCTGGATATTGTAGCAGGCAAATCTCTCCAATCTAATTTGAAAAAGATTCCCGACGACACTAACCACCACTGTATACGTATGTCCATCTAACATCCCTCTCCCTACGACGGCCCGAAAATCTCTCATTTTCCAGAGTCTGCCGTTACATAAATTAATACGGTAATATGACAGTTCATTGTATTTTTCTATTATTTTTCTTCATTTCCTCCCTTTGATTTTTTTAACCGACTTCAAAAAAGGGGGAGGTTATCAATTCGTCGGAATATTTTTTTTTTATGTATGTTACCGCATAACTTTGGACCACGTCAACCGATCTCGAAATTTTTTTTTTGCATCGGGAAGGTAGTGACTCATACTTATCTAGTTTCGATCAGATCATTAGATCATGAAAAAATTAACGGTACTCCTAAATTTTTATATGATATTTGAAGTCGGCTTTGTTTTTTGCTTAAAAATTACTTGTTCTATCTCTCTTTCTCTGACAACTGAGTTCGATAAATTTCCGAATAAAATTAGGGACGGAAACGATTTGTTCGTAGTTCGCTTGGTTATTGAGCCAATGAGCGAGCTAATTACGAATAAAACACGCAGTGGGGATTTAGTATAAGCTGCTCCAACAAGAGAAAAAACCGTGAAAGAATTTCATTCGGTTTTCCTTTTACGTTTTAAGTAATTTTCTGCAATGGAGAATTTCTAATATTTATATCAAAGATTAATAACAAATTTCTAAGTAGTTCTATTTTCAAAAAAAATTATATTTAGAATTTTTAGATTCTGGTATATAAATAAAGTAGGCGAAAACCCGGTTTATTCTATTGTACAAATCCGGTCAGTATTCGAAAAATCAAGGTTTCAAAAAAAACCGCAAAAAAAAAACGGTTGAAACCGGTTTGGAAAACCAGAGCCAATAACCCGACTAAATGAAGTAAATCCGTTTATATATTAGCTTTTTACTAAACTAACTACTATTATATGTATGACTAGATAAATTAGTATCTATATTATTAATATAAACATGTATGTATTACCTTTCTGTTGCAGTTCCTCTTGAAATCGGAATGCTGACACGCGAGCACTTCAATCGTTGGTACGGTCTAGCACCTTATTTCCTTTCGTTGCTTTCTTTTGAAATACCTTTTCAGGTGAGTAATTTCTTAACGAAACCAACAAAAAAAAACAGTAGATATGTACATATGTTCATATTACTAGGTACTATATATGTATGTACATATGTATTTAATTTGTATGTACTAAGTTAAAGCATTTGGTAGCAAATTGCGAAAAAGGGTTGACAAAAACAAAGATTTAAAACAGAAATCGAAATTCATCACATACTTGTAATACCGGTAAACAAATTACTAAAGCAAAGTTCATTGGACTTGAAGTTTGTTGGCCTAATTCGTTCAATCCACACTCGTACCATAGCAATCAAACTTCAGCCGGCAATATGCACATTTTCCGGTTTTTAGTTGCCGGTTTTTTATAACTGCAGAAGAATTCATGCACATGTATGAGTGTATATTATCTATAGGTAATAGGAAGACAGGGCCAAATTTAAACATAGGTCGACAGGGACTTGAATCGGGCCCCACATGACATTCTCGAGAAAATTTGTTGTTAGAAAACTCTAAATGTTCAAACAACTTTTGCCATTAAAATTTTTGGAAGAATCTTAAAAAACGTGTTTTGCCAGTCCTATGCTCACATTCTTTAATTTTTTTGACGTTGCAAAAAACGTCATCGAGAGTGTTACAAAAAAGCTGCTCATCTGTAGTTTGACATATTTTTAATTTTTTTTTTTACCAGATTTTATATAACTTTTTCATGCCGGGGAAATTTGCAATCGATTTTAAACTTACCTTCCGTTAATCCAGAGACTTGAAACTTTCGGCATAGTTCCGGTTAGTGATGGGCGCGGACCCTATTTTTGCGGCCCGGCCCGGCACGAGTGAAGAACACCTATTCAAAAACACGCACGAACATTCACGCGGAAAATCAGTGAGGCGTGGCGCGAAACAGCCCGCCACGACCGAACCCGATTTAGCACGGCTTATATTGACTTCCACCAAAAATGTTTCCTTTAACGAAAAAATTAAGCATTAAATTAACTAATATTTTTTTACTCAGAAAAGTTTCATGATAAACTTCGTGTTCAGAAAATTAGAGGCATATCTACTTATCTTATGTTTTAACTTTGTTAGAGATTTTCAAAAGTTTTTCTTCCTTTCCAGCCTTTACACTTTACAGCTTAATATTTTAACAAACAAAGGTTTTCTAAGTTTAAGTATAGTAAATTAAGTAACGAAAATACCCGTTTACCAGCTATCTGAATACAACTCGCAAAAATTTCAAATCATTTGCCCGTTGGCGAAACTCAAAAAGTGTCAAAGTCAAAACGCGAAGTGGTTGCTAAAATACCCTAATTTCAATATCTACTTTCTTTTTACCTAGTATTTTTTGCCCATATAATTTAGGAGCTTTTTCGTTGTTTTTGGTGTTTTGCTAGAAATTCACCACGAGCTCGTGCCGAAGTCAAACTCTCCCGCCCCGTACCTGCGTGCTTTAGCAGGAGCCCGCCGGGCCCATGTCGAAATCTCGGGCCCCATCTCTGATTTCGGTAAAGGCTCAGTTACTCATGTTTAAGCTAATTTGACTTGACTTGTGACATCTTATATAATGATCAAAATACATGGTCGAACATAACCTTACTTGAAAGTCTGTTTATTTTGATTTCTACATAGGTCGATTGTCTAGCAAAAATTAGAGGGAAAAAAAGAGCAGAAAGTATGTGTAATTGTTATTGAAACAAAAATATATTGATAATTGAAGGAAACGCATTTCGTTTCTCTGAATAATGTCGCATTTATTCTGCCCTGTGCCAGGGCGCTCTGATTTTCACATTTTCTCTCGGTTCTTTTCGCAACATGTTGCCTCTGGCCCGACAAAAGTGCAACATTTTGTGCCCTTGTTAAATTGTAAGCGCGAGTCTTGCCTTGCAGATTTTGATTATTTTTTAGTAACTATTCTTCATAAATGAATAATAGAGGTAAGTTATATAATTTTAATAAAATTAATAAAGTAATTTGTAAATAAGTTGGTGGAATCATGATTTTTGAAGTTGGCATTATTTTTGTTCTTTTCTTATACATTAAAAGGAACCTTTTTACAAGGCGCAGGGGAACATTTACATAGGCCCCTATTATGAGTTGCATTCGATTTTCGTTCTTCGCTGGCTATCGAAGATCGAAAGTGAAATGCGTATTATGAGCTATGCAAGCGTGTCGAAATTTTCGTTGAGTATCGAATTTTCTGTCGAACAGAATTTTGCTTTCGTTGGTGTAGCGAAATGTTAGAAAATTTTAAAAATGTATGATTTCGCATTTGTTTTCTTACTTTTTGGCGGCTAGACACTAATTTCAAACAATTTGTATTAATTTCAAGCAGTTCTAACGTCGTGAATAGTAAACACAAGCTCGAAAGTCTGGTTTTACCAATGAAAGAAAATCCCTATACGTTGTTGGCACGATTTCTGAAAACAAAATCATGGAGCTGTTTATAGTTTTAATATATTTTAAATAGATTTGGATCACAAAATTTCTTAAATATATTGTATGCGAAAATATATTCGAAATACTGCACTTAAACTCTCACGTTTTCTGCTCCTGGCCAGTTTTTTAAGCCCTCATCCTCTGAAGAATCGTTCAACCAGAACTCCGTTGTGCTAATTAAAATTTTTTTTTACCACGCTTTTATAAACTCGCTTTCTTTTTTATTTTATTTTAATTTGCACAAATTTACATATCAAGCCCTAACCGCCAAAATAACGTAAGCGACATTTTTTTCAAAATTTTCTTTTTGATGCAGAAATGCATCTAGATCAGTGCCCCCCAAAAAGAGAAAAGTCTTAAAATGAGCATGTATTAGTTATGGAACAAAAAATGAGAATATGTTGGTGGTAATGCACGGAAAAAAATTTCTGTGTTTTATTACTTATTATAAAAACTTTGGTATGTTTTTTTCATTGTGCGCTATTTTTTTTAGATCTAAACAACATAGAAACATATAATGAAAGTTAACGGCCTTAAGAAAGGAAAAAGTTGGTAAAATTTTGTATGTATTGTACAAAATTATTATTATTTTTTTATGTGGATTTCTGAGCAAAAAAGATAACGTGCTCTCTGAATATTAAAAGAAAATTTCGTTGATTTCAAGTAGAAATAAAATAAAAATATATATATCTAATATATATTTATTTTAAAATTAGGTAAAACTTGACATTTAAGAACAATTTAAAATAACGATTAAACCAAAAGATAAATAACAAAACATATTGTATGTTTTAATTGAGGACTAGTCTGGTATTAAAAAAAAAAAATACATAATTCACAAAGTTCTTTTAATGTGAAGAAAAAGCACGACTAAGGTACCTATTTCTAGGGGTGTATGTACGAAAAATTGTGTTATAAAATTTTTGAATGAATATTCATTCATTCTGCTCAGTGTACCTACTTTATTCAACAATAATGCTTCACCAACCTGCTTCGCCTATTGTTTGCATGCAACTAAATAAAATTTGTTGCTCTTCTACTCTTTCTGTTGACGTTCGGATTGTGTACGTGTAAGAAGCCGATTGTGTACATGTGAAAGACCGAATATAGTTCCCAGGAAAGTGTTTGGCGGGCACTGATCTAGATGCTCTAGGAATATTTCTGCATCAAAAAGAAAATTTTGAAAAAAATGTCGCTTACGTTATTTTGGCGGTTAGGGCTCGATATGTATGTACATATGTATAAGCACACTATTTAGTTTGCTCGATCTGTAAACAAAGCTTCTCAGCGGTGAAAAATATACTATTGTGAACCACGGTGGAGAGAATACCGAAGGTGGCGCCGATGGCAATACCGCTAATCGGCTCTCAGTGAATTTGACAGAATCAGCTGTTTTGCTGACATCACAGTCGAGATGACAGCAGTAGTGATGTGCTGAGTCAATACTTTTAAGTATCCAATACTCTCGATACTCGGTACCGAAACATTCAGGTTTCGAATAAAAGCGCACATAGGCCAAAAATATGGAAAAACGGTTCAGGGGAGACTCGCCTATCAAAACCCGAATGTAGGAGCCATTAGAGCTTTTAATACTGATCTAAATGAAAGATGTATATATGTCGGTTCGAGGCCATAATACAGAGAAACTCTTACTTGTTTGAAGCATTTTTGTTCCAGCTGAATCGGACGATATCATTTTTGTAGGCAGATTCTGATACCAGTTAGCGACAGATTCTGTAACCAATAAGAGACAATTTTCGAGTCGGTATGATATGAAATGACTAGGGTTAAAACTGATAAAAAAATATTTTTCTGTTGCAATAAGTTCAAGTGTTTTAGCCGATATCATATAAATTAGTAACGAAAGTTTTTTCTAAACTTGAAATGCATATAATGGCGAAGGTTTAATGTAAGGAATCAGTATCGGATACCGATAAAGAAGTATTGGGTACCGAAGCCTTTTTTTAAGTATTGGGTACCGACAATTGAGCACATCACTAGACAGCAGCTTTATTTGCCGCTCTCAGTTGTCAACTCTACGGTGACGTCACGCCAAAATTACTCTCACGAATTCTGCTGCAATCGGCGCAATTTTGTATTCTATCATTCTTGATTGTGAACAACCTAAACGAGCGAAATTCACAATAGCGCTATTCTTCATCGAATGAGCGCCATAATACCAAATGAAAATTCGTTCGATCAGCACTTTCGACCACAGTCGAAGATCGAATGCAACTCATAATAGGGGCCATAATGTTGCCATATACTGAGGCAACATTTTCATTGAGAAAAGAAAACGCTATTAATTTACAGGTAATCGCCATAGGGCCTTTTCCTCGGGCCCTACACATGTTAGTCCGACCCTGTATGAAGGTGTTTACGTACATAAAAATGTTTGTAAATATCTGTGTGCTGATGTGATCAATGCCCACTTTTTCGCGTTTTAACCATTCACGTTTTCATCTTTTTTGTTTTGATACTCAGTTTTGGTGTCAACAAACTTTGCATTATTGATCTTAAAAACCTCGTTGGTTGCGTACGAGTATGATACTACGTACATAAATATATATCTGTATATATACATACATATGTAT